ACCAATAGCGTCAGGTGTTTGTAGAGTGAACAAGGGGCATATGATCAGACACAGTACACGCTATGGGGAGAGACTACTGTCTGACTCGCGATGGTACAAACCTTCTCGGTATCAATCCAGAGTACGGATACCCACGGCAGCGACCCGAGGCAAGGAAAGGGATCCCAGGGACTGATGACCAGTTGAAAATGAGTATGCTGCGGCTGATGGATGCAAACACACAGACTAGACAAAAGGAGTATCCTCGATGATTGGTGATCAGAAGTCTAGCTATCCCATATCGGTGCGATGATATATATCATCACCCATAATAGGAATAACTCGTCAGTAACGCTAAGGCATCTAACGCCATCTCCAGGCTCATATAAGAGTGGCTTCTGCTGGGAATCGAAGCTTGACTGACACTCTGTCGTATACTAATATCAGTCCCTCCAGCCCGGGCTGTCAGAAGTAGAGATAATCCTTGGCAAGCACTGCCTGGGCCGTAACTACTGGATGTTAGAGTGGATATAGGTGCAGATGGATCGTAGTCCTGCTCTTCCTGTTGACCTCTCTGTCATCTCCATTGACAATCGTTAACTTTCTTATCGTCTTCAAAGCTCCGGTCTCACCGGTAGACTTCTCTACCATACATTTCAACAGATCTTTACACATCTAGAGTAATGTAGCATGAGACATATGTTGAATGTCTCCCAAGAGGTCATTTTGCTTGACGAGGATCTCAGACCCGACGCAGATAAGTGACGCTTGCATGTCAAGTCAGGGGTGGTGTAAAGTCGGATGCCTAGTCTACCTGTCTTTCTGAATCATACAAGCAGGCGCACACATTTGCGATTTCGGAATACAATAAGAAAGTCCGACCGTCGAATTAGCTGCTGAGAATTACGTGCCCCCTGTCCCTGCCCCTGTCACCTAAACCTACCACAGATCTGTGGTCTCTGACCACAAATCGGTGGTTTTTTCAACTGGACTGACCACAGATCCGTGGTCTTTTTCACCCAAACCTACCATGGGTCTGTGGTGCCCGTCCACAAATCCGTGGTTCGTGTCACGTATGATCAGCTCTTTGGTCACATGCAGACGACTTGCCCGCCATATGCACTTCTGTAAGCTTGGAACACACAATGGATTTTCGGCGGTAGTTGTCTGTATGAGGCAGGAAATTTGCGCCCGCTGGCGCGTGGTTTTGTGTCTTCGTATGGGTACATTTTTAAACGCATTGCGCACCTTGCTTATCAGCAAGTTATTTAAGTCACTGCTGCGATATGATAACCTCTTGATGGTGGGGGAGATGATCGGGGATGACGGAGAACAGGATCAAGTGAGTGCCAGGACTCGTGGGCTTGAAGCTCATTGCAGAATAAGCGTTTAACCTGGGGCTGCTGTGCGGGAAATCTCCCTCAACAAGGCCAACACAATATTAGAGTATCCTTAGGGTAAGTGAAAAGCCCAGAGTCTGGTGAAAGTTGGGTATTGCTTTGTCGCAATACCCATATCACTTGATCCAGAAATTCTTTCCTAGCCTGTCCTGATTGGCTAGTCTGATAGTCATAGTTTCATGACTACAGGGGCAGAAAGCGGGATACAAGTAAAAGATACCTCTGTCAAAACTCTAGTCATGCATGTATGTGATGTTGGTGGTAGCAAGCCTGCTGTATATCCCAGTGAGGCTCGTCAAGCTGAAGGATGGTACCAGGTATCGTCTCGAACACAATATGAGAGAAGTTCCTATTCTCTGGGCCAAGATGGGTTAAGGCCAAATTGCTCTATGACAGTTATAAGAGGTTGGACTTTTACATAGTTATGCTTTGGAAGAAATAATAGTTCCTCTTCTGACTCTTTTTACCTCTAACAAATATGGATATACTCAAGCTCTAATGATAATCCATGAACATAGTCGACTGTGCGTGCAGGAGAACGTTTTGCGAAAGCTACTGGGTTGCAAGCCACGGCTGCAAGTACTCGTGCATTGATCACCCACTTTTTACCCCGAGCCCCGAAGCCGCCGCCCGGGAGGTTGGCGCACGGCACGGCCCTGAAGTACATGCTCGCTGCCAATCAATCCCCTTGCAGGAAAATGTCCCAGGACTCGGGATAACCCGATAATTCTGGTATACCACCAAGATTCTTTGACATCACACCCATTTCCCCCAGTCAACGTGCGTCGCGCACTGGCCTCAATACTGATTGTTCGACGTAATGCGCGCCGAACCACCGCTGCAACTGATCTACCTTGTAGCCCATCGGTTCTTCTCAACGCTAATATTCGGAAACGCTATCAAGGTCACCTTGGTCAAGACAAAAGGATTGGCCCCGAATGATCCAAGACACGGTTGGAGAAGCCTATGAAGACCATAATCTGGAAGTACCTTACTCTAGGGCTCCTAGAATCGCGGCTTGTGCTGTGCTTCTTTTCGATAAACAAAACAAAACGCTGCTCGCCGTGGAGGCGGCTCGGCTCCATGACATATTAACACTGTACCTTCCCGCTGAGACCCTTTTAGCCATCCTTTGACTAGAACGCATCGCGTGGATATGGATCTTGAGGCGTTTTATGGGCGTCCAATAAGATCGACAACAAGGCATTTCCACGCATGTGAGGATACATATATCATTGTATATTACCCAGTTGGGGTGTCTGGGGTTCTACGATTATGACCATATCCTTGTTTTCTGTCGCAAGGAGAATACATTGATGTCGATGAGCTGATAGTATATGCCACGCACTAGTTGTGTTGCATCCAACAGAGACTGGATCTCGTTCAATTGTGCTGATCATGGAGCCTACCTAGTGCAATTATCAAGATGTACTCCGTACCAGAGCTCTGTTTATTCGAGTCTGGTATTATTAGCCAACGAACAATTACTATCGTCAATGTGGCACTGGCTTCTTCTCAGAGCGAACCTCATCCTCCACAAATGTCGAATAAAACCTTGAGATTCCAAGTATCTCGGTGCGGAGCCACATTTTCCCCATTGGGAGGTACTGAGACTCATCAACAGGCAACTATGCATAAGTACGAACAAGAGAAACTACAGAGGGACAGTGTCCACCCCTATCCCAAGGTACTCTAAGAACGAACAGCCAGAAAGAATAAGGTGCCAAGGTTTTGCAAGTGATGACAGACAACCCTTTGCCAACTCATCCACAATCCGCGGTTCCCCAATCCGACTTCAGCACATCCATTAGCCCAAATACCGAGGACAAGGTTACTTGGTTGGAACTTACTAGCGCCATGATCTCTCAAACCCCTGCAAGTTTCAACGTCTAGCCCCCGCAGCTCAGCCTCTACCGGGCATGAACCCGCTAGGCCCTGGACCAGAAGCGGATGAGATCAGGCAAACTTATGGAAGAGAAAGGCAGCCGCTAATGCAGCGACAAGCTCCACAATCATAGATTGCAGATTCAATGACCTGTAGGAAGAGGCTGTCCCCTCGGTTCTCCAGGTTCAAGGTGTGGTGGGGGGGGGGACATTACTGCCCTGGTGGAGTAACTGGACCATAAACGTCTTGCAGTTTAATCCGTAGTTTGCAAGGAATCGCCCTCATTGCGAACCAGGCGACCAAAACACAGTCCTATAGTCCATAGTGTTGTCCGATTCATCTATCATTGGGGGGTCGCTGGTCTCGAGACAACCAGTTTGTTATAAATATGACATTCCTCGAGTTTATGTTCGCACTCAATGGCTATATCCAAGCACGTCCTACTACACTTCCTGTCACATATCATCAATCCCTTCATCATGGACAGCCCTCACATTATTCATGTCCCTCGTAAAGGGAACCCATTACCCAACATTATATACCAGAGCACCACATACTCGGAGCAGATGAACGCTTGGTTGCGAGAGGATCATAAGGATATGCCGTGGCATAACCTTGATTCGATTGTAACGTCTAGCAGTAACACATCCGAGCCCAACCCAAACACCAACGCTTCACACAACCCTGCCACTCAGGGCAGTGCCAAGTAGGCCTGTCTTCAAGTACCAAGGTGCTCTTGACGCCTTCCTTTCTGCACAAGCTCAACTGACATGATGCATCTTGATAGTCAAGCGTAAAGTCAACCTCGTATGCCACGTTACTTCGTCCATAAACGTCCCACTCAAAGCCCTCAGCGCAGTAGTCGACATTGTCACGACTTGGCTCGGTCACCGGAACTCGAACGACAGCCCAACAGGCACACAAGGTGCGTGGTTGCATACAGAAGTCAAGGTCTCCGTATAGGCGTGCTCAATGAAGAGCTTGCTAGCTCAACCTAGTGAAGCTCGGGATATATATGTACATCAACCTCTCTGTGGGGAGGGATGATAACAACCCTGTATAGTTTGGTCAGCTCTCTGACAAAACAGGAACATGTAGAGAGAACAAGATATGTCGGTGGGTATCAGGAAACTTTTAATGGAATCATACAAGAATTCTTGTCAAATACAATCTAGCGTGAAGTTTGTAGGTCATCATGTAGGAGGGGGCAGTGATGTGAGTGAAGTAAAATAGTGACTTACTCAGCATAAATATGTCCATTTAGATCAGACAGAACATTTCGGTTCGTCCATCCTACATCCTCATCCGCGCTCAATGGTCATAGCAATCCGGCCCGCGCAACCTTTACGGCCGAGCGAGTCCAGGTGAATTGGTCCCGAAAATTTGACCGATCGTCCCGCGAATCTGGTCAACAAGAGCCTTGATCATGCCCTGCGGCTTGCCTCTTCCACCAAGCCCTTGGACAGGCTCAGTACCCATCGTGGGGAGAACATTGTCGCCAGCAGACAGACTAACGAACAACGCGAAAGGCACGAGCCATACACAAAGACCGAAATACGACGCGATTTGCGCGAAGCTAGGAACATCGGCCTTATCGTAGTACGAAGTACGTTGGTACGCGCGCGACTGCGTATCGGAGAAATGACGGAACCAAACATAATGATTGACCAAAACGAGAACTACATCTCGTTAGCAAAAACTCAATCCCCTCATCCCACAAGGCAACATACCACATGATGCCAGGAACAACGGATCCGACAGCTTCACAAAAGGAAAGCGTCTCATATTCCCCAGGTACACCACATGCGACACGATCGTCAAGACAGTAGCCCAGAAGGGCAGACCATCAACCAGCCATAGAACCGTCTGAATGCCAATGACGCTGTAGATAAGACGCGTCAGGAACCGCTTCGCGATAACGCTGTGCTCCTCGACGAGCTCGGACAGGTAGTAGAGACCCGAGGCGATGGCAAGGGTCAAGAAGCAGAAACCCAGGAGGGTTCCTATGTAGCCGACAAGAGGTAGAATCCACATATTTTTGCGTTGCGTTTTGTGTTTGGGCGCAAGCAATGGTTTGAGTTGGAGCTCACATGTTGGGAGGAGGGGAGATGGTTATCTGCAGGAGGTTGAAAAGGAGAGTGTTTTGGACACGGTTTTATCTACCAATCAGTAGCTCCATTTGACGGGAAATAGATGCTCCGATTCCGATGTTGGTGGGGGTCACGGCTAAGAAGTTGAGCTTATCGATAAAGCCACGAAAAAGTCGTTTTTGCTCAACACCAGGAAATCGGCGATAAGGTGCAGCTCCAGGCTTCACGACCCATTCATTTCTCACTATTCGGTATCTGAAGCCTCAGACCTAAAATATCCTCAAAAGTCATTTGGCTTACAGTATTCACCATGTCTCGTCCTGAGGATACCCTGTATGTCACCACAACCCCGCCATCATGCCCCTCAAGCTCACACAAACAGTGCCGCCGACGTCCACTATGACGATACCGAAGCGCGCAAATACACCACAAGCTCTCGAATCCAAAACATTCAAGCGTCCATGACACGAAGAGCCCTCGAGCTCCTCGACCTCAAGTCTCCATCCCTCATTCTCGACGTCGGCTGCGGCAGTGGTCTCTCCGGCGAGATCCTCTCCTCAATCGAGCCCGAAGAGGGCGGCCCTCACACATGGATCGGAATGGACGTCTCACCATCAATGCTGGACATTGCACTACAGCGAGATGTAGAGGGTGATCTAATGCTAGCAGACATCGGCCAGGGTGTGCCCTTCCGAGCAGGTACTTTCGACGCAGCGATCAGCATCTCCGCTATTCAATGGCTCTGCAGCGCCGAAACAAGCGATACATCACCATTCGGCCGTCTAACCCGCTTCTTCAACGGTCTCTACGCATCTCTCAAGCGCGGCGGTCGTGCAGTCTGTCAATTCTACCCCAAGAACGATGAGCAGCGCCACATGATCACCCAAGCGGCCGTAAAAGCCGGTTTCGGCGCCGGTATGCTGGAAGACGACCCGGGCACCAAGAACCAGAAGCTGTACCTCGTGCTTACCGTGGGAGGTGGTGATATTCAGAAGAAGGGCGGTGATATTACGGGTGTTGTTGAGGGTATGGAGGGTGTGGATGTTGAGGATGCGAGAAGGCAGATTAAAGCGCATGCTCCGAATATGTCGAAGGGTAGTAAGGCGTGGATCGTTAAGAAGAAGGAGCAGATGGAGAGAAAGGGTAAGATTGTCAAGGCGACGTCGAAGTACACTGGACGAAAGCGACGGATACAGTTTTAGGCTTGTGGGCTGGTTTGGCATTGTATGGCGTTGGGTGGGAAAATCTTTCGTTCTAGACCTTTCAATTTGACACGGATACCCTTTGAAGCATACAGCTCAGTCGTATTGGGCCTCACAAGGACCCTTTTTGGAGCCTACATTAACAGGATTCTGCTCTTCGAGTTACACTCGTCTTAGACGGCTGGCCAGAATGCCTCCTCGGCCTCCAGAACATCATGCCACTTCCCCTCAACCCTCTTGAACAGCTTCCCCTTAACATCCTCACCCTTCTCTTGGACAAGCTTGTTCACAGCATCATCAATAATCCTCCCAAGCTCATCCACAAACTCAACAAACTCCTTACACGTCCAGTTGTTGATAAACTCCTTCCTCACAGCCCCACCATCAGCATCATTACTCCCATCATCATCAGACAGCTGCGCCTTAGCCCACGACCAAGCATCGAGGTAACACTTTTCCGTTCCCCAGTAAATCACCGCAGCTTCAAGCCAGGGAAGCTCTTCCTTCTCGTTGGGAGCCACAGAAGCGTACAGAGCTTCCCAGCGTCGAAGGCCTTCTAGCTTGGTACTCGAGGCAACACGACCATCTTGTCCAGTCTCGAGATTAACATTGATCCCGTATTCTGCTGCTGTGTTGATAAAGAACTTTTCTTCTCGGCGGATGTTGACGAGAGCTGCGACGATCCAGTCTAGAAGCTTTGTTGTAGCTCCGGGATCGACATTAGGTTGCACGGTATCAGGATACTCGAGAAAACTGAGAAGACGGCCTAGACCACGACAGTAGCTGTGGATGTAGAGACGATCGTTTGCAAGCCAGCGACCAAGAAGCTCTTTTGATGCTTTACCGTGACCTGCGAGCTTGAGGAACTCAGACTGGGTAGCTCGCTTGTAAGCTTGCTCGTCTGAGACGAGAAGCTGTTGGGTTAGAGAGTAGGACATGATAATGATTGATGAGGTATTTCCTCAGGATGTTGATGCGGAGATGGCTTCATGGTCTGACGAGAGCTTGGCAGGAATTATGTCATTGTGAGAGGATCGGTGTAAAGTTGTTCCAGCTGCAGGATGTTAGTGGTACAGGGTCCAAGTCGAGTCGAGTCCAGGTGAGATCCGTATGAGGCTACAATGTACGATCTTTGGTGTTTATGAGATTAGGTTAGTTTGTGTATGGTTGCGCCTTGTGAGACATTGCTCCGAACTTCAATTGTACCATGACCATCAATGTTTCTGAGTCAATTGAGGTGTAGGATACTTCTTATGGTGAAGAACACATGGTTCAATGACTTGCATACTCATTGATGGCTTCGGTATATCTCAAACTCTCCCATTAGTTCTCTCGTCAGCGATGACGATCAACTTCTCGTGCCGCGCGTGTACTCGGCTACCCGGCTCCTCTAGCAAATTCGACTGTCCCCAGCATTCATAGTAGCCTATGAGAAGCTTCCGTTCTCAATCAAATCGATAGATGCTATTATTGGGAACGGACTGTCGGACTCTCGGAACCTCCAAACCTTCAAGAATGCAAAACCCATCGACGGAACATTCATATTCCCGTTTGGACCGTCCAACGCCGCAGTTGATCTTCAACGCCATGTAATTTCCTCCCCAGCCTCATCCATGCCAACCATGTGTCCAAATCGTCCATCTCTTCCACCACCAAAAGCTTGGCAACGTTCTATAACCCGCTAATCGCTCACAATTGGACATCCAAGCACGATCAACTTCCTGGTTCATTCTGCTTCAACCGTTGCGTGATCGCCTTTATCCCCGTCATGTTATTTTGTCCCTTAATCTGGGGGAACGAACGGCAACGGGAAGCTTTGCCGACAGGGATTATGCAGCCCACTTGGTTTAATTAACGATGGCATCCCCCACAATAAGGGGGTCGTGTTGATTTTTGAAGAAGCAAGCAAAATTGATATTAATATTGCGGTTGTTTGAGATGTTGGAATGGGCAGTTTCAGTTTGAGTTGTTCTCTTTTGGTCTATGCTGTGCTGTTTGTGCGGTGAGTTTCACGGCGCATTGATAGAAGAAGTGAAGTCGAGGGAATGCATGAATATGTACTCCGTAGGTGTCAACGGTTAGTCATAAACTATTGATAGAAATGTCGATCAGGTACACGTAACATGAGGTGACAAGACCAGTCTAGATCTCGTATCAAATCGCTCTGAGAGGGTCAATTTCACTGCTCACGAGATGCACCCCTGATTTACAGGGACCCCCCAGGGGGGCTGAGCCTCTGAAACATGGAGCTCTCGGAAGCAAGTCATTCAACTGAAGGACGCATCGTCAGTCTCGCATTGGCCTTTTAATGAATGCCTCTTGCCCTTGAATGCAGTAAACTCCCCCTTCCCTCTTTTTTCCTAGGTTTTGCTCCCCTCCTTAGCAGACTCACTCGACTTGGCTCTTGAATTGTTTCTTTCATTTTGCTCAGAATAAAAACAAACTGAATCGTTAATTTAATTTCTTCTATTGCACACTCACTCACTCAACTTATTATCAATGATTCTCGACTTGGACTTGGGCGCCCTTGCGTCTCGCGCTGAGGGGATGGGTCTCACGCGAGTGCTTCCCCGAGAAGCCAAGGAAACATGTCGCAATGATCAATACTCGGATACCTGCGAAAAGCCCAATATTAGCACAGGCGAGATCATGCTAATCCTCTTCATCGCCAGGTATTTCTCGCATATCGGTTAACTTTTTTGTTGTCTTGGCTGACCTCATTCCGCAGCGCCGTTGTAGCCCTTGGCGTTATCGCCATGCTATGCTTCCTCCATCGCCGCCGCAAGCGCCTCGACAAACTCGAAGACCCCAAGGATTTCCAAGAACTCGACGACTACGGCATTGCGCCGATAAAGCAAAAACCAGCAAATATGCCCCGAGCACCACCGCCGACGTATGAGCGATCGCAGGACAAGAAGGAGATGAACACGGCTTCGCCTGCTACTACGAATGAGAGTTGGGGACGGGGGAGGGACTCGACTGATTCGTTAACGCCGTCGCTTCGTCAGGCGATGGGGGTGACGCCCCGAGATACACTGGCCAATCACTAGGGAGGCATTCCACTGTGGACGGTAGGCGGATGAGCTACTGCAGGTGTTTGGTCGGTTTATGCATAATCGACCTGAGGTGTCGGGTGTTTCAGAGATGCAGCTACGCGATAGTCGCCGATTTACAGAGGGGATAAAAACAAAGATTGGCATGTCTTTACGATGGCGTTTGAGAGATCAATTGGTATGCACGGCGTACGGGCTTTTTGCAGGATGGGCGTTCTTTTGGTTGGGTTTGGACTACCTTGCGCATGACTAGCGACAGTTTCCTTGACAATTCGAGAATATTTTGATACCTGGTTGCTGGCGATGCACCTGTGATGGAGAAGGAATTGTGATATCCTCACCCTGGTCTAAGTCGAGATGAGGCTTGCAAACTTAGGGTAAACATTTTCTGCCCGTGACATTTGCCTGGCCTTCTCAATTTCTCTCAGCTTGGCGAATGAGATCAGAGCCTCACTGTACAGGCACAACATTAAATGTGTAACGAGCTGCCTTATTCTATGGTTTCATAAGGCTTGAGAACCACAAGTACTTTGGGTACCTTAGGCAATACACTTAAGGAGACTTGGTACATATAGAATAACTTAATAAGGTAAGACGTGTTAATTGATCCTTGACCTTCAAGAATCTGGTCCATAAACTTGGGGGAGTTTAGGCCAAGTGCGGATGAGTATCATAAACTTAGGAAAGTTTAGGTCAACTCTGGACATAATTATCACAAACTTTAGAATAATTTAGAGTAGATTAGGATAGATTAGGTAAACTATGGAATAATTGACCCTAAGTTTAGAGGAGTTATGCGGCCTCAATCCTCCTCCGAGTCGGAGTTCTCATAAGCGGCCCCTTCTTCCCACTTGAACTGGATTCGCTTTTGGGCGTCAATTCGCAATTCGTAGGCCTTTTCTTCGGCATGAGTTTTGCGTTTAAGCTTCTTGCTGCCACTTCCACCGACCAACGCAAGGATGCTTCCACCGACTTTGGCCGTGAATTCATCCTGATCTTCATCGTTGGCCTGCTCTTTGGCGTGCTTGGGGAAGCCAGGGTTAAGGGAGTAGTCCCCCACCACAACTCTTGCCTTGTCGACTTTCATCCCGTTACGCTTCGCTTCGTTGACGCTGTTGATGAGCCCCTGAAGGGCTGCGTGAGGTTCGGCCTCGGAGATGTGTGCGAGGAAGCGATCATTGCCGCCGCGGGACCCAGTAGGGTATGACCCAGTAATTGCGACTCTAACGCAAGTAGCTAGGCCAACCGTGTAGAGAACATCGGTCCCGGAGCCGGTGCCGTACTCATCCATGCACACTTCGTCGCTGTTGCTACGTGCATTGGCGGCCTGTTGGGCCGTGGCGAATTGTCCTTGTCCTGACATGATCAGATTAGGTAGCTATTGTTGTTATGGATGTAAATGCGGTGATGGGATACTGGGATGATAGAAAGATGAGATGAAATGGTCCAGACTACAGATGGAAATAGCCTTTTATAGACGGGACTGGAGTATGATCTCTAAGAATCGACAGAACCTTTCTTCATCGTGATTCATAGCGTAGGGTCATGTGTCCTAGTTCAAAGTGCAGCAAGCTCAAGTGTTTGTTGATCGAAACCGCCGTCAATAGATGTTTGCCAGGCACAGCTCCGGCGTGTGTTGTGACAGATCAACTGCTTTTGGGTGTGGCAATGCAATACTTGTATCATGGAGGTCAATTTCATCTAGAGTAAAGACACTCTCCATAGGGAACAACCAGAATCCAACGGCCGGCCGGGGTGATGGCTCGAAAAGTCTGGCAAGCTCATCGTCTATCTGACCTCCTAGTTCTTCTGGCGATTGATGGAAGCTCTCAGACCATTTTCGGAGCTCGTCAAAGTCACGCCGAACCCATTCAGCAGCGGTTTCGCGGTCAGATATGGGAGGGAAGTTCTTGTCCCGGTAAGTGATCCATGCTCCACGACGACTACCAAACTGATAGATGACCTTATGCTTGTGTTGTACCTGCAGGTTTGAGAGGAGTTTGAACCAGTGGTTGAATGAATGACGAGGATTCCAGTCGCCACGGAACACTCGCTTGAGATGTTCATCGCGCAATCGAGGGTCATATGGTAGTCGGTTGAAGCTCTGAATGCCACTCCTTATGGGAATCGCTTGATTTGAGCGCCAGGTGTCGTTCGGTTCTGAAGGTAGATCGGGCCATATCTTTCTAGTACCTCTCTGGCTCATCATGGCCAGCCGTTCAACTCTGGACAAGCATTGTCTCAAGACAGAAACGTCGTTATTTTGTATAATCGGTTTACTCATAAAGTGCCTTGGATGTCCGACTCTCAATGCGAGGTTGACCAGCCCGACGTGACGAGAGTCATGAGTCCAAACGTCATGTGCAAAGTTCTCAAAAGCCCTCAGTGCGTTAAGCATCAATGTATCCAATTCAGGGCAAACATAGAGCGTGCTGTTCACCATGCTCTCATCTTTCCTCTTGTACCAGCATGGTAGTTGAACACGGTAAAAGGCCAAAGCAGCCTTCCGTGAGTCAGAAGTGGTTCGGAACAGCTTGCTAATCTTCCAATGGTGGTCCAATATGATCTCGTAGTTCTGGTGACCTGCTTGCTCCTTTCCTTCGCTGGTGAAACTGCGCGATCTCAAGGTAATATCGATCCATCGCTCGTGACTGAGGTAATGTTGCCAAACAAGCCAGCGAATATCATCAGGAAAGCGTGCAAACAGGTGAAAGTCACCACATGGTTCAAGAGGAGGATTGAAGATTTGCAAGTAATGTGGTGTAGCGTTGCTGTTCTGGTTGCAACCGGAAGCCATGCTGAGAAATGGTTGCTTGGAAAGAAGAAACGTTACGGTTTGTTTGCTGTGACAGGAGAAAGAGAGGAGTTTTAAGTCGTATATTAAACTTTATGACTCACAGAACCTGCGTAACTTTTAGCAGGGCACACAAGGTCTAAATTTTACGAGTGTATCACAGTCGAAGCATATTCCTTATAGTGTGTTAATAATACAGTTACACAGCACCTCCTCACTTCAGGGACGTAATCAGCTGACCTGAATGAAACACAATCAATGTCATGAACATAATGGCTCTGTTCGGCTAAGGCGTGGGCATGATCTATGAAAAATCGAGAATAGCGAGAAGTAATGCAAATATTTCAATATTCAACGACCCAGTTGACTATTAGCACATCTAATAAGCATAAAACAACGTAGCCTCGGAATCGGTCTGCCTGATCTTCCTGTTCTGTCTGACCAGCATCCACCTCATAAGCCAAACTCCTGCGATACAAGCCACAGCAAAACCAGCACTGCTTGAGAGCGGCAGCACATACCGCGGTGCGTCAGATTTGGGCCAGAGATACTGCAAGAGTTAGCGATTACCACCAAGAATGGGAGATGTAGTACTTACGGGAGTCCAGATCAGACTGAGTGTCGCACTGACGTTGGCGAGAGCCAGAGCAGAGGCCTTCTTCTCCCTCGTCTGTCCACAAGTGTTTCCCACCCAAGCCAGAAGAATTGAATTGACACCATAAGTACCAATAGTGAAGACACACATGGCAAAGTATCTCGCTCCAACGTTCATGGTAGCACAAGCCAAGACGAAGCCAAATGTAGCGACAATCTTGGAGATGGTAATGTGCCAGGTACTCTCGTTGAAGTGACCAGATGACTTTGCCCAAAGAATAGAGAGAGCACCCGCGATCAAGAAAGGAGGACATGTGAGGACGAGAGTAATGGTGGTGTTGAAACCAAGAGTGTTGACAATAGTAGGGAAGAAGTTCTTGAAGCCGTTGGTCGCAAGGTGAAGATGCTGAAGAACGATAAAGACCCAGACTTTTGGGTCGACGATGGCTTCACGTAGACCACTCCATGGATTTCCATCGCCCTTCTGTCCGACTGTATCTCTCAAAACACGGTCATGCGCAAGTTGTCGCTGCTCAGGCGTGAGCCATCTCGTCGTCAACGGTTCATCAGGAAGAGTAAAGCACGCCACGATAGCCACAACAAACGTAACCGCACCCTGAAGAATAAACAACCATCGCCAGCCCTTGATCCCCGCAAGTCCATCCATACCCTCAAAAACACCCGCAGCAATCAAGCCCGCAAAAGCAGAAGCCAGCACGTTACCAGAGTAAAGAATACTAATCCTCGTCGCCAATTCCTTCCTGGTATAAAACGTCGACAGCATGTACAGCGCACCAGGGTAATAAGGAGCCTCCACGATACCGAGGAAGAAGCGCGTGAGGAGAGCGCCGGTGTAGTTGTGGGCTACGGCAGTGAGGGAACTGACGACTGCCCAGGCCATCATGAAACCGCCCATGTACCATGATGGTCTGACGCGGGTGATTATCATGTTGCTGGGGATTTGGCCGAGGACGTAGCCGACGAAGAGGATTGAGACGGAGGTGTTGTACTGGGAGCCTTGGAGGTTGAGATCTTCCTCGAAGCCGTTTAGGCGGGCGAGGGTGATGGCGTTGCGGTCGAGGTAGTTGAGCCAGTACATCAACCAAAGCGTGGGCTAGTAAGTCAGAGAAGAGTTCAACAAGGGACGGGGAGACATACCATGATCCATTTATCGAGCTTCTTGACGAGTTTGATCTCCTCAGGATCACTCTTCGCCACGGCACCAGAGTAATCACCATTACCCTTCTTATCAAGAACTTCAGCAGAGTACTCCTCATGAGCAGCGTTCTGCTTCTCAGCATCAAGGGTCTCAACGCCCATCTTGTGATCTTGGGATGTCATGATGGTCAACTCTCATAAACTATCTCAATGAAACAACAGAAGAGAATGGTGGATGGGATGATGGATGCGAAAAAGCAGGGGGATGATGCGGTATTTGAACTTGTTTCCTGAGCTTGGGCTGTTCCCCGCATACCCCAGATTCTGGATATCCGGGGGTGGGATTGTTGAGGGGATCACCATGAAGCGAGGAGCGAGAATATCCTGGTTTCGGGGACGGGGCCGATGGCCGAGTTGTGATTTTGCCAAGACGCCATTTTGGGGGGAGGTTAGATTGTGATGGAGGAGGATTTCTAGTGTTGAGTCAAGATTTGTGTAAGTAATGATATGGAGGATAACGATATCCGAGATAACATTACATCAATTACATTTGTGAGAGTCTAACTAATAACACGAAAAGTCTAGATAAATTAGAGAGTAGAATTATTACATCGTTCTCCGTATACGAGCGGAAATAAACATCCATACTCATAGTCACATCACGATGCATCCATCATCCATCAACGTTGCACTCCCAACCCCACGAGTCAGGATTAAGGTAACAATTAAGCTTAGTTCCCCCAATCCCACCCAAAACTAACCAAAATAAAACCCGCATTCACTAACCGACGCCCCATAACTTCTTCCTTCTCAAGCGGGGTCTTCTCTCCATCATCATCTCGGCCTCGGTCTCCGTTGCCATGGTCTCAAACGCCTGCGACAGATGTCACCGTCGCAAAGTCCGCTGCGACAAGATCCAGCCTCAGTGCGGGCCCTGCAAACGCGCTGATGTCGCGTGTGAGTATGCTGTTAGTGAGCATCAGTTGAGGAGGAGGAATGTTCAGAAGTTGGAGAGGAGGATTAGGGAGTTGATGGAGTGTAATGAGGGTTTGACGCAGCAGTTGAGACGGTCGGAGGAGGTGAGAAGATCGGAGGAGGTGGTGAGGAGATCTGAAGATGTTGAGAGAGGGGATAGAGGTGAGAGAGCTGGGACGTCGGTGGTGCAGGATAGTCCTGGGGACGGTGAAGTAGCTGAGGAGGTTATCCAGATGAGTCTCATCGCAGGCGGCGGCCATCACTTCGTCGGTTCAACAAGCGGCCTCCTCCTCGCCAACCTCCTCCAATCCCGCCCTCAACCATCCTCATCCCTCACCACATCCTACAAACCAAACTCCCACCCCAGCCTATCCTCACCACAAACCTCCTCCGGCCTGCCCCCCAAGACCCTCGCCTCAGAACTCCTAAGAGCCTACTGCAGCCATGACCACCTCTGCTACCCCTTCCTCTCCACAAAGTCCCTCTACCGCTCTCTAGACGCAGTGTACGAAGACGCCAGCGCCAAAGATCCCGTCGATGCTTTCTTCGTCGATATGACGCTCGCTATTGGCACGGCGCAGGTGCACAAGTTTAACTGGAATGGGGTTTATGATGCTGAGACGCATTATAACCGCGCCATGACGAGATTGGCTGATGTGCTGGCGAGAGATGGGATTGAGAGGTTGCAGGCGCTGTTGTTGGTGTGTCAGTATAGAATGGGCACGACGTCGAGTAATACCACGACTAGTGTTTGGCATCTCATTGGTGTTGCGGCGAGGACGTGTCTTGAGATGGGACTTCATCGGGCAGCGACTTATGCGCTTCTGGGGACGTTGGATGAGGCAACGAGAAAGGTGAAGGAGGAGGAGATGGAGACGAAACGACGGTGTTTCTGGAGTCTTGTTGCGCTGGATCGCCTGACGAGTCTTGCGCTTGGAAGGCCTTTGGCGCTACAGCTTGAAGACATAGACGTTGATCTCCCCCCTTCGTCGACAGCAGATCAACTTCCTGAGGATAGCAGTCCTCTCTCATCAGCGCCCTACGGAACACCTCAATACCGCGCTGCGACCTCTGTGTTTGTGCACATCGTTCGCTACCGTCTTATCTGCGGTAAGATCATAAACGCTCTACACCGCAGTGCAAAACACGTCACGTTCCCGAACACAAGCTACGAAGAAATGCGAACAGCTCTAGCGAGGGAGTTACAAGAGTGGCATACAGAAACAGCGAGTCTTCCCCTTGTCAAGAGTGACACAGCTGCTTCGCCGGCTAGTGGTTCAAGTTTTCGCTCTGAGGAGTGGTATAGACTCTTATACCATAACGGCATGCTCATGCTATTCCGGCCATCGCCGTGTTTGAACGACGCAGCTGTGAACAGTCTCGCACTACAGAACATCTATGACTCTGCAAGGGAAGCTATAAGTCTCTACGCGAGTCTCCACCGATCCCGAAAGTTGAATTATTCATGGATAACGATGCACTCCGTCTTCCTAGCCGGCCTATCATACATCTTCGCCCTACGCCATCACTTCTCCGGTTCAGAACCCCAGCGCGCAAGATTACATACAACACCTACAATCAACCAAGTCGTCAATGATACTCGAGCTTGTTCGAAGGTGTTGGTAGCTGTGTCGGAGAGATGGGACTTGGCGAGGAATTGTTCTGATTTGTTTGATAGGCTTAGTGATGCGGTGGTTGCGGATGTCGTGGAGGCGAGTGTTGCGGCGCCGGTGCAGTTTGAGGCGGATTTGGCGGGTATGACTGTTGATAGTACGTTTAGGGACTGTTTTGGGGATTTACAGAGTTTGGGGTTGGATGAGTTTCATAATGATGCTATTTCGCAGTTGAGTCAGGAGTGGTTCTTTGGGCTGGGGGGTGAGAGCCATCCGTATTACTGATGGTAACCATGTACTTTATCGCAAGGCTTTAACTTGCAGGCTGTAACTATTGGATGTCTAGTATATTTGTTATGAATTCAGGTTGGAAGTGATCTATCTGTTAATGACTGTATATCTCGGTTCTTGCTCTACCATCTTTTCCGGGCTGAAAGGGCTGATACTGAAACATCATCAGTAATACCCATGAACAAGATAAGCACATTAATGTTTCCCAATCTATTTCCTCAAGCATTAAAAAGGAGGAAATATTAGCCTATCGCTTCGGATACATTTCACATCATGTTCCATCTCAATGTTGAGAAGCGAATTGACGGACTCGGTCGCCGAAGCCGAGATGCCTGAGCCCGTGTAAGTGGATCGTCACTCGGCGCCGCGTCCGCCAATCCACAATGCATCAAATGCCGTGTTATGAGAGACTCTCAAGATCCTGAATAATCCGAAATACTACACAATTAAGAACATCTTTATTCCGACGGTCCACATCTTAAAGGAGTGTTATCAAGAGCCGCATCCTAACCTCATTCCATCATTCTCAGTTCACTATAACTTTCACCTCAGCTCACCATCACCAACACTTCACATACACTACCCTCAGATTGCTTCACTTCACTTCACTTCACTTCACTTCACACAAAATGCTAGACAGACCTCCAATCCGCATCGGCAACGTCTCCGGCGCAACAGGCGACCATCCCCACGCAATGTCCCGCATGGTCCGCTCCGGCAACGTCCACGTCATAACAGGCGACTGGCTCTCCGAGATGAACATCGCCTGGAACGCAATCACCAAGCAGGAAGTAGACCCCAACCTCGGCTACGAGAACGGCTTCTACGAGCAGCTCGACGAGTGTCTTGATGATATCATGCAGCGTGACATTCGCGTTGTGACTAACGCTGGGGCGCTAAACACTGATGCCTTGTATGATAAGGTTAGAGCGCTTTGTGAGAAGAGGGGGTATGCGGATTGTGTTGTTGCGAAGGTGTTGGGGGATGATGTCTCGGATGTTGTGGCGAGGAGGGATGTGCAGATTACGCATTTGGATCATCCGGAGGAGACGCTTGAGTCTTGGGGGTTTACGCCGTGTTGTGCGACGGCGTATATTGGGTGCTGGGGTATCGTTCAGGCTCTTCGGTCTGGTGCTCGTATCGTTATCTGCGGTCGATGCACTGATGCTTCTCCCGTAATGGGCGCTGCAGCGTGGTATCACGGCTGGAGAGAAGATCAGTACGAGGAATTAGCCGGTTCACTTCTAGCTGCTCACCTGATCGAGTGCGGTCCTTATGTCGTTGGTGCAAACTTCTCAGGATTCAAGGACTTTCTACCCGAACTCGTGGATATTGCATTCCCCATTGCTGAGATCGATCCAAGAGGACGATGCACCATTGGGAGAACAGCAGAAGGTGGAGGAAGAGTCACGAAAGAGACTGTCACTGCACAATTACTCTACGAACTTCAAGGACATTTATACCTAAACCCCGATGTCGTCGCAGATCTCTCAGGAGTACACGTCGAACAAGAGTCAGAGAACCGCGTCTCCGTTTCAGGAGTAAAAGGCCTCCCTCCACCGCCAACAGCAAAAGTCATGATCGCCGCAAAAGGCGGTTTTCAAGCTGAAGCGACATTCTACATCAACGGTCTCGACGTCTACGAGAAAGCAGCCATGATGAAGAACCAGCTAGCACACATGTTCAAAGACTCCAACTTCAGCCGTTTGAGCATTGAGCTTTATGGTACTCCAGCTGAGAACCCTACGTCTCAACAAGCGGGCACTGTATCACTGCGTGTCTTTGCGCAAGCTCGTCGAAAAGAAGACATTGACGCTCCCAAGTTCAAGGTACCGATATATGCTCTTCGTATGCAGAGTTATCCGGGGTATCATATGAATCTGGACTTTAGGACTATGGTGCCCAAGCCGTTTATGGAGATGTTCCCTGCGCTTATGCCTGTTACTGCGATTGAGCATCGCGTTGAGATGAGTACAGGTGCATCACATCGTATCGAACCACCAGCAAAAACAGCAAAATATCCTATCGTACGACCATCAACGGAAACGCATGGACCGGTTGACATGCTCACATTTGGACCGACGGAGTGGGCGCCGCTGGGAAGTGTAGTCCACGCCAGATCAGGCGATAAAGGCGATAACTCGAACGTTGGGTTCTTTGTTAGAAATGACGATGAGTACGCCTGGTTGAGGAACTTGTTGACGGTTTCGAAGCTGAAGCAGTTGTTTGGGGTTGATTGGTTCAAGGGGGATCCTGATAGGAGGGTTGAGAGGGTTGAGTTCCCTGGTATCAACGCAGTGCACTTGTAAGTTCCCTCGTTAGATGATGGTGAAGTTGAGATACTGACGTGATACAGCCGTGTTTTGGATAACTTGAACGGAGGGATTGCGTCTTCGGATCGGATTGATGGTCTTGGGAAGGGAATTGGTGAGTATTTGAGGAGTCGATACGTTGATGTGCCAAAGGCGTTTCTTGAAAGAGGACGGATTTAGAACTAGGAAAATTAGATACGTTACATAGATTCCACGGAGAATTGTACAGGATTACACGAGACTGTTGTTCTCATGCTCTTCTTTAATTTCTCATTATTCTCGTATAGTGATATCACCACGTCTGGCGAGAAGATTGTCGGTCAGAGCATGATCCGAGAGCAGACCTCCTACAGGCTGAAAGACTAGTCTTGAAACTAATTGTCAAATCATTTTCAATGAACCATTCGTGTCTCGCAATGCATCATAACTCTTTTATGTCCAGCGCGTAAGGTCAGTTTGAAGTTGCCATGCTCAAACGCTATTGGCCAATCCCACTCAAACAAGTCTAAGGACTATCTAGAAAAGCACCATTACCACAATTGTTCAATCAGATATAAGATATCTTATGTCAACTTGTCACTATCATGCTGTTTCAGATTACATGATCCTAACCTATAGTAAAGCTACCTACGTCTTCGGTGTAGCATCAACCGAGGTTACCAACTCGGTCTCCGCGATAAAATAACTCGCCAAGCTCGGAGCATGACAAGGAAACCACTCTTTGGTCACTCTAAACTCAGAGGTGCGTGTCGATTAAAGGCACTGCTGAAAGAACCTCCAATATGCCTCAAGAAAATTCGCAGTACACGCTCTTTATAATGTCCTGCTCACAGCCTCACACACAGCAATCAGGACAACTTGGACTTTCCAATATATTCAAGACTGCGAGAGTTCATGTTGCACGTACAATCTCCTTCTGCTATTTCAATCATCATCCTCTGTCTTTCTTCTTCTGTTCTGTTCTATCTTTCTCTTCTTCCTTCGACGTCGCCGCCAAACCCCTGCCTCTCAGAACGCCTTAAAATCCGCGCTGTCCCGGGTCGTCAGGTATGTGTATTCGAGGGTATGGTGGGTGTGTCTCTTTTTTTCAGAATGTTGTGTGTTGTATGCGTGTTATGTCCAATCGACTCCCGCTTTTACATACGGGAAAAAGACAAACGAAAAAAATAAAATTGGGTTGATTTCGCATGGTTTGTTTTTGGGAGGGGAATATCACAAAAGATGCTTCATTTAAACAGTCTCGAGCTTGTCGAGGATGGCCTTGGTGAACTCGTGGGTGGTGGAGGAGCCGCCCATGTCGGGGGTGCGGACCTTGCTGTGGGATCGTTAGCATTGCAATTGTACTTGAATAAATCGTATGGAACTTACCCCTCGGCGATAACAGCGTAGGTGGCCTTGGAGATGCGGTTAGCATGCTCATCGAGGCCGAGGTGTCGCAGCAGCATGCTGCCGGACAGGAGCATGGCAGTGGGGTTAGCCTGGTCCTTGCCCTTGATGTCAAGACCGACGTGACGGCAACCGGGCTCGAAAACAGCGACCTCACGGCCCATGTTGCAGCCAGGGACGATACCAGGGCCACCAACGAGGGCGGCACCAATGTTGGACAGGATACCACCGTAAAGGTTAGGCATGACCATGACGTCGAACTGCTGAGGTCGGGAAACAGCCTGCATGGAGGCGTTGTCGACAATCATGTCGTTGACCTCGAGGGTAGGGTAGTCCTTGGCGACCTGGTGGAAGGTGCTGCGGAAGAGACCGTCGGCAAGCTTCATGATGTTGGCCTTGTGGATGCAGGTAACCTTGGATCGACCGTTGGCGAGAGCGAAAGAGAAGGCGAACTTGGCGATACGCTCGGACTTGGCGCGGGTGATGATCTTGAGGGACTCGACGACACCGTCGACGCTCTGGTGCTCGAGACCAGAGTACTCACCCTCGGTGTTCTCTCGGATGATGCACAGGTCGACGTCCTTGTGGCGGGTCTCGTAGCCGGGGATGTTCTTGATCAAGCTGATGCTCGCGTAGATGTCGAGCTCCTGACGCATGGCGACGTTGAAGCTCTGGTGGCCGGATCGGCTGATGGGGGTGTGAAGGATACCCTTGAGACCGAGCTTGTTGCGCTTGAGAGAAGCGACAGACTCGCGGAAAGCATCCTCGGTTCGGCCGGCGCCCTCGAGACCGGAGACCTCGATCTGCTCCCACTCAACGGGGACGTTGTCGGCCTTGAAGACGGTCTTGACGGACTCGGCAACCTCGGTACCGATACCGTCACCGGGGATGAGGGTGACGGTGTACTTGCCGCCGAACTTGGCGGGCTTGAAGATGTCGGACTGGACGGTGGCGAAGGATCGGGCGAGCTGGGGTTGTTGCTTGGCGACGCCGCGCAGCAGCTGAGAAAGAATTGTTAGTAACAGGATCAATTGAGTAGTGAAAACTGCGTATGATCAATCTGAGCCATTTGCGCGATGTGGTGTTTGTCCCGCAGCAATGTCCCACCACGCAAAACTCCAATTCTCGCTTGTTGTGATGTCGCGATGATGATCATGACATGATGCACATCCTGACACACAGCCACAAAAGCCCATTGCCCAAAGGCATTCCCCCTCATGTACCACAAACACCACTAAAGATCATCATGACACATAACCAAAACAAAAGCAACAACACCAACAAAGAAAACGTACCTGGGCCGATCGAAGAGATCCTCGAGACAACATGATGACAAGTGGGGGGGTATCTAAAAGGTAGAGAGAGGGGAGAGAGAGCCTTCGTAGGAGAGAAAGATATATAAGAGACCGAGGCACCGCACACGAGGAGGAGAGAGGAAGAAGAAGAAGAGAGGAACAAGATTTGTTTTTTTACAAGTTGAGGTTGGAGAAGGGGTGCAAGTGCAAATCGCGCAAGCCTGTTTTCCGTTCCCGTCGGGTAGCTCTGAGAGTCAAATCAGTTGCAAGGTTTCCCTTCTGGATTATGGTGTCGCATTGGCCCGAGCCTCTATAATTTTTTTTTACCACTGTTTTTCATTCGGCCGCCGATCGGAAAACGCGATTGTTCCGAGCTTGTCAGTGGCCAGAGTGGAGTAGCACCAGGGCAGACATAAAAGCTTAGGACTTCTATCCTAAGCGATAAAAATATTTAGGCAGCTCTAGCCTAAACTTAGGGTTCTCTTTACTAAATTTATTTTGGCATTCACCTCCCAATTCTCAGGCTTTTCGCTCCCTGAGGGTTGCATGGGGTAGCCTGTGGGGTTTTGCACGGCGCGGCCGCTAGAATTTACTGCTTTTCTAGGCTTAGCCTGCACCGACGCAAACGACGTCACGGAAACAGAATTGGAGATCAACAATAGCATTCATTCAATTGAGTTGATCCGGTCATATTTATATCCATTTCATCCAACTAGTTCCCTTCTCAATACAAATACACTTGCTCTCATGATACTGAGCTCCCCCAATTCGTAACGGACATATCATGATGACCATGACATAACGAGCTCTATTCCCCCATGTGGAGCTTTTTCTGCGGGTCGAGCAAATTCTTGGCGAGGTATCAGGTTGCAAAGACTTGTGTTGCTACTCGGACTTCGTACTTACGAAACGCTTATAGGTAGAATACTCCGAACCTAGTGTTGAGGATATGAAGCACTTGGTATAGTTTGGTCAACTGTATTTTGACCTCAATGGCTTGCACACTAAGTTTTTCTTATAATCTTAGACGACTATTACTGTTCATCATTATGCCCTGCAGTAAAGCATATCCACGATAACCCCTCAATAGAGGGAATCACAAATCGCCAGAACTACTCTTTCCAAGCATCAAATTACTACTGCTACAATGAGGGAATGGAAGCATGATATCCATGCTATCATCCGCTCTTAGAGATGATGACAAACTCCATTTACTCCTGCACTCTCATAAAGACCTCGATAACTTGATGCAGCAACAAACATCGCTGGATTCTATTTCAAAACCACAACAGACTGACATCTATTTTATACCAGCTATTCTCAGCAATGCCATATCCCTTTATACTCATCATGCTAACCTATCCCGTCCGTCCTTTTATCATCAACCCGCCAGACGGGCTCATAATGCTCATAACATGCCATATACAATGTCAAACCCAAACTCCAAAACACTCTTCAGCGCACCTCAATCACACATCATGAAACGGGCACTTCCTCATCTTCGTCCAGCGGCTCAACTCTTACTAGAATCTCCTCCAGAAGCCCCTCGAGAAAACTGCCAACCTCTCTGCCCATTCCAACAGGTTCAGCCTTGTCATAATGATCAATTTCTTTGCAGACGTGAGCCAGTTTATAAACCAATTTTCGTAGCTTCTCGTGAGAAGCCTCGGCGCGTTGTTGTTGGGGCGTTAGTTGAGCTGGGTTCTGTCCTGGCTTATACATCTGCTGCAAGTTGATCTGTCGCCTCTTAAGCGCCTCCTCCAGGGCTGGGAATATGACATCGTTCAGAGCATCCAACTCCCCATTGGGGTTTGCTGGTGCAGGTGTAGGAAAAGCCGATGGCGTGCTAAACTCGGATGGACTGGGTGAGCCGGCCTTAGATGGAAGAGGTCGAGGGCCCTGAGCACCCCCTGGGAGGGGAGTGTGTATCTGGGGCACAGAAGTTGTCTGAGGCACAGAAGTATGCTGTAATGAAGGAACCCTTTGCTGCGTCGGAGCTTGGTTTGGCCTGTATGGGGGTATCTCAGGTAGACTCATCTGCTTGGTAGTTGTTGGCCGTTGCTGATGAGCCGGAGGAGCAGGGGGTAACGTCCATTGTGGTGGCTGGACCTGCTGAATCTGTGGACTTGCTTTCCTCTCAGTTTGTGGCTCATAATCCAGATTTAGCATGCCAATATCACGCTGTAGTTGGCTTTGTAGTTCCCGGTCATAATCTGGAGACTCCTGTACTATTGCGGGAGGATTTATTCTCAATGGACGAGGGGTCTCGGCGTTATCCCTTGGAGGAGGGAGCTTCAGGGGAGTCTGAGGCAGTGCCCTGGTAGGTGATGGGAGTGGCTGCTGATATTGAGATTGAGGAACGGCCTTTCGTTGGGGGCTAGACTGCCTTGAGCCAGGGTTGGCCTTGACAGTCTCAAGGGATTGAAGGGCGAAATCCCTTGACTTGGTAGGGCTTGCGTCTCGTCGTTGCTCGCCATAGTCTTCTTCGCTCTCTAATGGTCTAGAAGCGCGTGCGTTTGTTGCATTCTCGTCAAGTTGGTTGAGGCCTGGTCGATTGACAATGCCGCCACGCTCACCAACAAGTCTCACGGTGCCGAAATCCCACATATCTTCGTCAACACGCTCACGTTCTACCGGGCCACGTCCACTATTAGCCGAATCCCAGTTGTCATCATCCTCTCCTTT